GGTCACGTCTAGGAATCGAGATATATATATAACTATCATATAGGGGAAATTGTCACCTTTGGTGGTCTTTTTTTGACATAACTCGAGAACCACTAGTCCGATTTTGCTCAAACAAATTTAAAAAAATTAAAAATTACAATTCCTTTAATCTGTTCATAAAACGTTTTTCTATATAATCAACAGTTTTGCCGGTAAAAATAAATGTATGAAGAAAAAAAATATTTTTTGCCTAAAATATTAAATTTTTTTAAAACTGTTGATTATATAGAAAAACGTTATATGAACAGATTAAAGGAATTGTAATTTTAAATTTTTTTTAATTTGTTTGAGCAAAATCGAACTAGTGGTTCTCGAGTAATGTCAAAAAAAGACCACCAAAGGTGACAATTTTCCCTATATGATAGTTATATATATATCTCGATTCCTAGACGTGACCCAGTGAAACGCCGGGACACGTATATCTTCTTTTTTACCGATATAACTTTCCCCGGTAGTTTGAACCCTTCCCGATCGCAACGCAAAACTGTTCAATTATTCGTTAGGCGGAGCTACCTTAAGGCGGAAAAATGGGATTAAAGACCTAGGTGTAATCTTCGACCGCAAGTTAACATTCTCCTCACATGTGGATTACGTAGTTAACAAAGCCTATTCTATGTTAGGCTTTATTAAAGAAACTCAAAAGACTTCAGAGATCCTCTTACTCTGAAATGTCTTCATGTGGCTTTGGTCAGGAGCATCCTTGAATATGAAGTCATCATCTGGAATCCTTTATATGATTTCCACTCGCGACGTATAGAAATGATCCAGAAAAAATTCACGGGATTTGCGCTAAATCGAATTAATTGTGCTCGTGGCCCATGTAATGGTACCCATCCTCGTGCCTCAACTGAGCCCTTACTGGCGCCACTAATAGTGCCTCTACTGGTTCCTCTTTTGGCGTCCCTACCGGCGCCTCCAACACCCTTACTGGTGCTCTTAATGGGGTTCCTACAAGCGTAACCAATGGTACCCGTACTGGTATCCCACCTTACGAATCAAGATGGAAACTACTTGGCTTACAAGCACTGGTGGACAGGAGGTCATATTTATCAATAATGTTTCCTTACAACACTTTATCCGGAAGTATTCGCTGCCAAGAAATCCGCAATCTCTTTATTGCGAACGAGCCTTCTTTACAACTTTGGAGCTGCAAGCTTTTTGTAGAAGCTACATACAAGACCTTATATGCATACAAGTAATTTTTAGCAAAAAAAAACCGACTTCAACTCTCATATAAAAAAAAAATGTATATATATATCTCATGATCCACTGATCGGATCTTAACCAGATTAGTATGGGACCACCTCTGAGACACTACCTTTCCGATGCAAAAAGAATTATCGAAATCGGTTGACGTGGT